CTAGTATTAGAACACTATTGTACCTTACCGTTATTTGCCATATGATTTGACTGGTCGAATTTTAAGCACCTTCGGTGTTTAAATCGACCAATCAAATAGCATACAGCAAATAACTCAGTTATTCGGCACTTCGTGCCGAATAACTATTAATTAATGTGAAATAAACGTATATAATTCTTCAGTTGACATAATGATTATATTAAGAGATAGTTAACTATGCATTGATTTTCTTGCTAATTTAATATGCAAAAAAAGAACATTCATAAATTAACACTAAAAGTATTCATTTTGTTCTATTTGAATTAATTTAGAAATATGAAAATATATGTAATTATTGGAAAAGCCACTTGTATGATTATATATCATCTAATCTGTGTCATTCGCAACATTTAAAATGTTAATAATGGCACTTAAAGGGTGTCCATTCGCATTTCTTGTGCATTTTAAGGGTTTTAAGGATCTTTCAGAGTCAGCAAACGAAATAAAAGAGATTCCGAATCCGGAACGGATTCATTTTTTATGCAACAAAAGTATATACTGGTAGACTCTTTTTTTTTTTATACAACTTGATAGCTGAATTAAGGTTATCTTGTTCGTTATAATCGTCATCTTTAATATATTTCAATACAGTATTGCTTGAATGGCTTTTTTTGGTAGGTTGACCCGGGATTTCGTTTATTAGAATATCATTAGCAGGTTTCAAAGTTTGCTCAAATGCTTCCTCTTCCTCTTCCTCTTCTTTTTCCGTTTTCGATAGGCCATTTATTTTATTTGAAGCAAATTCGAGAAAAAAAGTTCTTGTCATTGTAATTTTTTTTTTTTTTTATATATTTTGTTTAAAAGAAAATTTTAAACTTCTGGATACGGGATCCCAAAAGCAACGGCGAGGCAATTTTTGAATCACGCCCTTTTTATATGTATCTGTAAAATGATCACCAAAGGAAAGTCGTGGGACTGGTTACACAAAATCCAAAGAAATTAAACGAAGATTAAATTTTTTTTTTCCTTTTTTTTTTCCTTTTTTTTTTTTAACGGGAATGAAGTTTTGAAGCCTCCACGGCAAAAGGAGTGATCAAAAAAATTTTTTTAAAGAATAAAAAAAAAATATTTCTTGAAGAATTAGATCGATTAGAATATAAAATTATTATAAAATTAAACAAACTTGTTTTTTGCCCATCTTCCCCTTTTGCTGTGGGGGTATTTATATTATTATATCTGATATTTTTTAGTACTTTTCGAATTACTGTGATCAGCAAATTTCACGTATCACCGGGAATCAGGAATCCGAAAAAACATGCCAGTAGAGAAAGTTTTCAGAAGTGTACAAAAAATACCGATACATTAAAATTATACTGTATAACAAAAAATGTTGTACTAATAACAGAAAATGTATTGGCCTATCATTGAAAGGTGTAATATGATCAAGCATCATTATACTAATACGTATAAATATATTGTTAACAAGGTTTTTGTTTATTATTAATTCTGTGATACAAGCATATATGCTACGTATATGAAACATGATATCTAACGGTGACCTATTACCTAACTGCTATCGCTATGTAGGCCTAAAAAATTATTTAAGAATCCAATCATCGGGAAAAAAAGCACTTTTTTTTGCTTGACGTTTAGTTTATTTGCGAAAAAACTTTTTTTCTTGAAAGTCGGAAGGAATAATATTGTTCTTTTTCAATAATAAATTGTCACCTCATATTTCAGGCTACGCTATCATAGAAGATATATATAAGGCTTATATCACTTCTCCGATTCAAAAAACCTCGCCTTTTTCTTGCTTGACATTAATTATTTGCGAAAAAAATTTTTTTCTTGAAAGTCAGAAAGAATAATAAATTATATCAAAAATTAATTGAAACTAAACTAACTCAAACAAAATAGTTGTTTGATATATAATTCATAAAATACTAAAAATATTGAAATTATTGTTGAAATTACTGAATGAATTTCACTCCTATCTATTCATATATCATTTAATCTGTGCACATATAAATGAAAAACATCTATGATAACATTGTAAATTTAATTGAAAACCGCTGAAATAATTAATTCGATGAGCCTTTATTAATACCTTGTATGCTTTGTTTTCTGCTGAAGGAGTAGGCGGGAAAAAGAATTAAAAATGCACCAATACAGCGATGGTAGCATAAATGAACTAAATCTTCATAGATTATATTGCACATGCAATGACGTATTGCGCTAGACATCATTCCTCTGAATTTGCTAACACGTGATAAGAATTACTTAAAGTATCTTGCTCATTATTTATTACATGCGGACCTGCAGAAAGTAGCGTTTCATATCGTTTCTCTTTGCGCAAAGGTTGTTGGTTTCTAATTGTTGCTCTTAGTGATTAAATACGTAAAAACGAGAATCTGTAAGTTGCTAGACCCGGAACTTTATGTCGAAGTTAATAAGAAGCTGTTGAATAAAATGTCTAGATAGAATAGCTCGTTTAACAATCATTACTTTTGTAACCGAATGATTAATAAAAGTTGGATCTAACCTAATAACATGAAAAAAGGGCACGTGCACATCTATATTAGCAGATAATTCACACTGCTTTAGCCTGGTTGTCTCTAACGATAATAGAAAACCGGTAGGTGAAGTTATAAGCATATTTATCAATATCTCTTTCATAATATTTAAAATATTAATAATGGCATCTAAAGAATGCCAGTTCGTTTCTCTTGTGTTTTTCAAAGACTTTTCAAAGTCATTAACCGAAATAAAAAAATCCGAATCCGAAACAGATCTCATTTTTTATCACCAAAAATATACTGGTAGTCAATTTTTTTCTTGCAATTTTGTATCTGAATCAATGTTATCTTGTTCGTTATAATTGCCATCTTTGAAAGCTTACAATACAGTATTACTTGAATCCATTTTTTGATAGTTGAGCCTGGGATTTTATTTATTAGGATATCCTTAGCAGATTTTAATTTTCACTCAAATTTTTCCTCTTTTTCCTCTTCCTCTTTTTCATTTTTGGTAGGCCATTTATTTTTTTGAAGCAAATTCAAGAAAAATATTTTTGTCATTGTTGTTTTATTTTTTATTTTTATTTTTTCATATTTTTGTATTTTTGTATTAAAAAAAAAAATTTCAAACTTAACTTTCTTTTAAATTTTTTTTTGATGCTCGTTTTTGGCAATAAGTGAATTGTTGTACATGCATGCATGAATTAATCAACGTTGCATATGCATAGACGACAGCCTACATAGCAGATTTCGGAAACTGATTGCTGGTGAAGTTGCGTTTTATCATGCTTAATAATAATAAAACTTAGAACTTTACTTTGACTTTCGTTTTGATTCTCATTTTGACTTTCGTCTTGACTTTCACTTAAATAAGTGATTAAAGTTCGTGAACATTTATTTATTTTATTAGCATTAATTTAGTCAAATGAGTGAGTATGCACTTGTTCGCAATAATTTAGCTGATGAGTATGAAGTTCTTTATAAATAACTATGATTACATAATTTTGTTTGATTCCTCTAAAAAAGGCTTTTCTTGGGCGATTTTACTACTATGCCCGCTAACACCTAACCCTAAAGTAAAGTTAACTCCAACATAAATGCATTTTTAATTGTTATGTACTTGAGATTTTTTGTTGGCTATGCTGGAGAGATCATTTGATTGGTCAACTGTTATGTGATTCTGCTTGCTGTAGATAAATATACAAGTTGTGAATATTGTAGAATTTTAGATATTAGATATTGGTTTCAGTATTATAAAATATTATTAAATTTTAAAATATTTGAGTTTCTTTATTTAAACATTTTGAAATAATGAAAATATTTTAGACATGCTAAAATATTTTAGACATACTAAAATATTTTAGACATATTAAAATATTTTAGACACTCTAAAATATTTCGACAGTCTGAATTATTTTAGACAACCTAAATTATTTACGATTTAGACAATCTAAAAGAATTTAGC